AGTGCTCAGTTTTTGAGTCTTTTGTGAAATATTAAAACACATAATTTACAAGGCAAAGGGAGCGGATAGAAAGGAGCTGGCTCCTGCTCCTGCTCCTGCTCCTGAAGACCAGTAACAATGGCCAGATTAAAACGCATCCCAAGGACAAAGCCAGTGCAATTTGTTGCCAAAGCGAAGTTCGCCCCCAAGTTGCAAGTTCACAAAAAAAAACAGGGAAAAAAAAGCAGGGAAAAGAAGAAAAACGGATTTTGGAATCTGGCAGGGCAAGAGGAAAATTGTGTAAAATGGGGAGGAAATTCAGAGACTGCTCCTTTTGACGTTGGTAATTAACACTTGCCGGGGCTATACAATGGTCACTCGGTGAAATGTTGGAAATTACAGAATTTGTGAAATTACAGAAAGAAAAAGCTCAATTTTTCTTCATCTTTATGGTTAAATTGTTATATTTGTTAGTGAAAGAAAGTTCTTGAAAATGTAATATTAATATGAGTAAAGGTTTAAAGGTTGCCTTAGACTTTATTTGAGGTGATTTCTTATGCAGAATTGATGTATTTTTTCAATATTAAATGCAGTTCACTTAATTGTATTTAATATTTAACATTTACTCGTATTTACTTTGCTTAAAATCTTATTTCTTGATTTCTTATGCAGAATTGATGTATTTTTTCAAGATTAAATGCAGTTCATATGCATATATTTAACATTTAACATTTTTCTGCTTTAGCTCTACTTAAAAACCTTTCTTAAACTTCAATTTACAACTCACTAAGCCTGCATTAATAATCATTAGTTGCCTTATCTTATCGATATGATATTGTATTATATGCAATTAGATTGTCTTTTGTTCTGGCCAAAATGAATGGCTTTGCCTGGCGAATTGGAACGTTTAATAATACGCATAATGCTGCTTTTGGCCCAATTCGATATTAACTTGGTCCTTGGCTCTTTCAAGGAGAACACCTGGTTGCCGCCTCACTGACCAAATACGTTGTAATCCGGCATGTTTGTGCCCAATCCCCGCCCCCCGTTGTCATAGCGAGTGAGTAAGGATAAGGATGGGGATGAGAATGCTTCTCGAAAGGACAATGGTTTGGACTAGCCAGGGACACTCTGTTCCCTGGCCTCGAAAATCAATTGACCATGGCTGTGTGAGGGGGCGATGACGATGGCTTCTTGTGGCTGCCACTGCAGATGCTGCATCTTTCTGCCGGGGTCCATAAATAATAGGCACTAAGCATGTGCTCCGTAATCCCCCGGGGCCAAAAAGAGTGCAAAATAACAAGAGGACGAAAGGGAGGAAATGTTTAAGAATATATATATATATATTTATAAAGAAAAATATAGGGGAAAAAATAGAAAAACAGTGTATAAAACCGGGCACAACAATCCAGTCCACTCCAGTCGCCACTCCACTCCACACCAGGAGTCCTTCGACTGCACTTTGGTCCTGCGAGTCGGGTTTTCTTTTTTGCCGTTGGCTTGAAAGTGGCCCTGGCCAAAAGGTGCAACTATTTGAGGCACCAAGACTGCCGCAAGGCAAGCGGATTTCTTAGCAAAAGCACTGGGAGAAAAAAGGAGTGGCAGAAAGTTCAAAATAAATAAATAAAATACCAGAGGGACTCTCTAGACTTTTACTTCTAATTTTCTTTATATTTCATCTTTACCAAAATATCATTTCATTTAATTTCTCTTTCAATTTCCTAGTATTTTCTCTGAGTGCCTTAGTGCCTTGCCTTCTGGCCAAAACGCACACAAAAGGATCAAAGTTTCGTCCTGCTGCTGCCCCATTTAATATTAAATGTTTTTCCCTTAGCTCCCAGTGTTTCCTTTTGCTTCTGTTGTTTTTTTTTGAGAAAAGTTTTTCGCAGCGGAAGCGACCATAAAAACTTGTCCGAGAGTGATAAATATAAGTATAAATAATTATGCTAAATAATGAGCAGCAGGACACACAGGACACTGCGTCTTGACAAACCAATTGACAGCAAAAAGTGGTCAATTTTTTAATGAAAACTTCTAGTAATCTCTCATGAAATATGATAATTAGTAAAAAATGTACTGTGTAGCCTTATTGTGAGTCATTTTAATAGGATTTACTAGCTTATTAGTATTAGAAATCATTGTCAAAATTATGTTTTAAAGTATTTTGACATTTACACATTAAAGTGGTTCCCTTTTCCATCATTAAATTATGTTAAAAATCTCATAACTCAGACAAAAATGCATTAATTTCAATTCGGAAAGCACTCCTATGTTAGTTTTTAGCAGGTTAACAAAACTGCATACTCCATTTAGAATGTGAATTTTTGGCCGATTTTTGCAAATTTTAATGATGTAACCCCTTTCCTTTTTTCCGAAAAATGGGAAATTCCTGAAAAAAATATTTCCCGCCGGATATAGCTAGATTGATTCCCCTATTGATGCTGATCAAGAATATATATTATTTATAGGGTCGGAATTGATTATTTCACTGAGTAAAATAATAAAACCCTTTGGATAAGCATACAAAATGTGTATATTTAATATTTATTTATTTTAATATTTTCCTGACTTTAAGATCTTTACACTCTTTAGAGAATCGAAGGTAGGGTTATTCTTCTGTTCTTTTTCATTTAAAATTGAATTCTTCTTTGGAGAAGTGGCATTATTATTAAATGTAACCATTATAATAAGGGGAAAGTGTCTCCTAATAAATTTATTAGTAAGCAGATTGTAGGGGTTCTTCCTGATTTGTATTTGATTCTTTTAATTTATTCCCACTTATGGATTGCTTATATTGCTTAAAATATATTTTTCGGACCAGTAAATTGATTGTTTACTAAACTAAACTAAAGCAGAACTAAACCTAGCAGAAATTTATATATTTCTTCTATTTAAGTTAAAGTAAACTTACCTCAGCCTTCAAGTATTACCTTTAGCGAACAGCCTCAAATCTTGGTCTCATAAAACTGTTCACACCTTCATTAAAGTGGGTTTCCCTTATCCATCATAAAATTATATGACGGTTGCCAGGCACTTGACGCACTCAATGCAGGCATACACGCAGAGAAAAGTAGGGTACATGTCAAACAAAAAACATAGATAGAGAAAAATATCAAAAAATCAGGTTTTACTTATGATATTCAAAAGAAATTTATAGTCCAAAATCAAAACTATAATTTTAAATCGAGTCTGCGGCTTTTCTGTTTGGGAAATTGGTTATTTCGATTTGGTCTTGGCCAAGTCCATCGTATCCTCGATGGACAAATGCGGCCTCGTTAGCGGCCTGTTTGGTGAAAACCAGTTAATCGAGGGACTCGTCCGCAAGCAACTGACCAGGAACAGGAGCAGGACGAGGACGAGGACGAGGACGAGGACTAAGAGGTGTGTAAAAGGAGTAACAAGGACAAGGGCGCTAATTGCGTGGACATGCCAAATGTCGCACCTGTCCTTTTTGGCCGGCAAAACAGGAGAGGACAGGACACGGCAGGACAGGAGCAAACGCCGTTCCGGAAACGAAGGCGGAAAAGGATCAAGGACATTGCGAGTGGACAGCGAGTGGGGTCGCCTGAAATGGCAAATAAACATTAGAGAAAATCCAACAACACATCAAAGGGCAATCACACGTGGCTCGCCAATCCTCGCATCCCCTTTTTTTGTTTTTGTTTTTCTCGCACGCCATTCTCGGCCCCGTTTAATGCCTGATCCTGGCCAAAGGATGCATGTGAAAACAACAGACAGGACGAGGCGGATGATGAGGAGGATTGGAGGGGTTAAAACAAAACAAAACAAGATGAACCTCCTGCTCCTGCTGGCCGCAATAAAAGCGCAACACGTAATTGTTGTTGCCCCTCTCTCTAATGGGCCTGCGAATGAGCCAGGACGAAAAGGGATATATGGCCAGTGAAATGGACAATAAAAACAATCAATCCTTGAATAACATTGAGCAGGATCTTTAAGGCATCTTTATTGAAGGAAAAACTAAAGGGAAAATATTTTTTAAAAAGTATTGAAGGAAAAACTTAAGAAACATTGTTTAAAACATATGTTTATTTAGCTTCAAGTTAATCAAAGTCAGCTTAAAATATTCTAAAAATTAGAAAGGAAGCTAAGTTGAGGCAGCCAATGTTTGTTTATTCTGGCAGCTGTTACAGATGAATTTAATAGGTTTTAAAATAAGCTAATTTCAAGTATATTTGAACAATGTTTATCGGGTTTTATTTATATTTTATTATATATTTATATATTAATTACATAGGATAATGAATCGGAAACTTTGGGTCTTTTGGCAATCATTCTCTTTATGACAATTTTATCACTTCAAGAAGAGCTCAAAAAAACTCACTCTAGGTACTTAAAGTCAAGATTTATTTATTATATATTGACAAGGAAATTAAAGTATAAAACGTGCATAACTTAGCCATATAAGCTAATGTTTTAATGAAAAAAATTGTTTTGCTTATTATTTTCCATTTAAAAGATCTGAAAGATTTCCATTCCTTGAATCTTTATTTATCTAATTATTATTATTATATTATAATCTTATTAATCTTATATGGTTATTTTCTCTAAAGAAACCAAACATAAACAAGTTATAACTAAGCCAAAAATGCATTAATTTTAATTCGGAAAGTACTCCTATGTTAGTTTTTAGCAGGTTAACAAAACTCCATTTAAAATGTGAATTTTTGACCAATTTTTGCAAATTTTAATGATGTAACCCCTTTTCTTTTTTCCGAAAAATGGGAAATTTCTGAAATAAATTTTTTTTCGCCCAGCTATAGCTAGAAAGATTTGTCTGTTGATTCTAATCAAGAATATATATAATTTATAGGGTCGGAAATTAATATTTCAATGAGTAAAATTATAAATCCCTTTTGGAAAGGCATAGAAAATGTTTAATTTTCATTCTTATTTATGTTTACATTTTGATATTATAAAACCCCTTTAAAACCTTTTACTTTCCATCTTTTTTTTGTCATTTTTATCTTTATTTATATTTCAATTTTTAATTTGTACTTGTATTTCTTGGTTTTTTGTCAGGTGTCTATATATATTTTTTTGTTTTTTTGTGAGTTTTATTTCTGCATTTTTGTGTTGTCACCGCCAATTCCTGGGTCTTTTGGAGTGGTTGACAAACAGAGACATCCTGTGGCGGTAATCAAAGCCAGGACCAGGAGAAGGGGCATCCTTGCAACCCGACTGTTTACTTTGCTCTCCTTTTTCCTTTTTTTTATGCTGGAAAGGAAAAGGACTTTATTCCCCTTCCCCTTCCCCTTCTCCGGAAACTAAGCCTGAAACTCATCGTGCATTTCCCCTGGCTCTCCTACCAGACTTTTGCCAAAGTCTAGGAGATTCAATGGTCGATCCAAAACTGCCTCCTTTGGCTGCAGATTGGGCAATGGTATCAGCACCTGTCCTGTCTTCCGCTGGCGCTGATCCTTGCCAGCCACAGAGCCCAGACTGGGCAGACTCATCTCACTGCCCAGAGGCCGGAGATTGGGCAAACTCTGGCAAGTGCCACAGACCATATTCCCACTGACATTATCCATGGACTGCGGCTGAATGAGGACACTCTGGCTGGTATCGTTGCGAGACTGCTCCTCGATCTGGGTCTCCTCCTCCACCTGGAGGGGAGCAAACAACTCCATGACACTGGGCAATGGTGGCTGCTGTGACGCCTCCTTGGCATTCACATTATTCAAGCGATGCACCGTCAGGCAGAACTCCTTGAAACCATGAACCGTGTGGTAATTATTCAAACCGGGTCCTGGTTCCTGGACACTGGTGGCCGCACCCGCTTGACTCTCATCCAGCTGATCGATGGCATTCTGCAGGGCCGGGTCCAGGAGGGCAACCTCCCGGGCAGTGCGTAGATCATGATGCCAAAAATGCTGATTCCTCTGCACCGCCGGAGCCACTTCCTTAATGCGCAGCACCACCACACCCATTAGCCACACACAAACGATATTCAGCAGAGTTAAAGCAATGCTAACACCGGCACAGACCATCAGTTCGATGGGCAAATGATCCGAGTACGTCTTGTGCTTTTGCAAACTCTGCAGGAGTTCATGATCGGGAGCCAAAAATCTAGTGCCAATGGCCAAGGCCGATAGGAGGCCGGCATTTACCGCCGGTGGCAGCAAGGAAGCGGAAATGGCCACACCCACCAGGGAGCCGGTATTTCCGCCCAAGACAGCAATTGCCCCAGCAGCTCCCGAGGCCAAGGCAGTGCAAACATTGATGGCCAGCGAATGAGTGTCGCAACGGGACACAATCTCCTCGGTGAGACCCGTGGAGATGGCAAAGAAGTAGCCAAAGCCACAGACAATGCCACCAAAGACAAAGCCAATTGCCACGGACACGGCAATGCCCAGGAGTTCATTCTTCAGACCCAGCCAGCAGAGATCCCGGTCGCCGATCACTGAACCAAAGATGGCCGCTATAATCGGTCCCATTAGCGGAGATATCAGCATGGAGCTGGACAGGAACAGGAAGCTATTCTCCACCAGACCCACGCAGGAGAGCAGGGCAGCCGAAATGAGGAGAACCACAAAGTCAAAGGTCAAAGTGGCATCGCGCCTCACCTGGCGCACCACTTGGTTCACATTCAAGCGGCAACGCACCGAGTCCATGAAACTCTGCCAGCCTTGGTTCAGGTTCTGACTGGGTTTGTATCCCGATTCCTGGCTGAGTTTATCCGAGACGAGTTGCTGCTCCTGCTGCTGCTGCTGCTGCTCCTGCTCCTGCTTCAAGTCTCCTGTATTGCTAGCTGAAAGATCCTGCAACTGCTGCTGGTGCTGGTGCTGGTGCACCTTATCCGTTGGCTTATCCCTGGTCTCCAGACAATTGATGGCACTCACATGGGTGCCAGGACGTTCGCCCACACCCCAGTCCTGGAGAGTGCATAGCAATCGCTCGAATCGCTCATCCTGCTGCAAATCGAAGCGGGCTTGAAGCTGCCGTCCACTCAAATCCTGCGACCAAAAGACATTGCACTCCAGGCACAACTCCTCGGCAATGGCACGCAACAGTTGCTCCAGAGAGGCATTCTCCCTGAGCTTGTTCAGAGGCAAAGTTCGGTCACGAGGAGTGGCAGTGCGAGCACTTTTCTGCGGCGCATCCAGGCCATTGCCAGAGATGTGACTCAATTGCCAGCAGCGTTTGCATAGCTCCAAGGAGCCCTTGCCCTCCAGCAAAGAGCAGCCGCACAGGGAGCAGACACGTGGATTTAGGCGTTGCTCCTCGGCCTCTGTGGGTACAGTGACCACCACACAAACGGCGGCATTCATAATCCTTTCCTAAGGATGCCAAGGACTAGGACACTAGGAGGAATCAGAGAAACGGTGTGTGTGTGTGTGTATATATGTGTAGAAAATAAAATGAACACGTTTCGAAAGCTCTCTGTGGAGCTACTAGATATTTATTTCCACAAATATATATGAATATCAGTTACTATGTCTACAATTAAAGTTTAAGTTTAGAAGCAGTCGCACTTCCTGTGGGCCAAGCCAAAGAACTCGCATCAAAAGCGGCAACATGTCCGCTGCAACATCCTGATGATGTGGCAATGCTCCCAGGATGATGATGATGATGATCCTGCTGATGGACACTGCGACAGATGTGCGCTTTATCCTGTTTGCACGCGACTGCGGATGCATCAGCCACCCGCTTAACCCTCTAAAAAGCCCCCGCGTTTTGTTTGCATCCGCTGCAGTGGCTGTGGCAGACGCACCCCCATCCTGGACACTGTTTTTGCCGCATAATCGAAACAGCTACAACAGCAACGAGCTCAAACTTCCACACCCCCTCCCGAAAAAAAGGACGATAAAGGACCTGCACAAAACAAAAAAAAAAAGGAAAGCCCGGAGGTGCAGAGCAGCCAAAATGTCAACAATCTGCAACAGCCATGAAATATTATGAGGCTTTTGTGGGCGGACGAGAGGAGAAGAGCCCCAAACTGTTGGCATTTCGGCAGTAATAATGCACCACGCAAAAGTCGCACCGAGCAGCGGAGTAAAAAATACGGTTACGACGGAAAATGGAAAAGGCAAAAAACACACCAACCAACAACAACATCAAAAAAACAGAGCGGGAAAATCCCACGAAAAGCACACACTGAGGCAGGCACAATGACCCACACTTACAAGTGGTCAGCTATACCCTCTCCCAGCGAAAGGGTTAATTAGCTTAAGTAATTCAAAGTCAACAAAAGCAGTGGATATGGAGTCATGGTAACTATCACTAAATATTACATTTTATTATATGTATCCATTGTTGGAATTCTTTGAAGACGCTTCCTGTTGTTTGAAACATAACATTTTGTATATTTATTAGAACTTATTATTCCTATTTCTTTAAAAAATACTGAATTAAATTCAATATTGTAATATGTTCTTGTAATACCCTTTCAGTCAATAGCTTAAAACTAAGTGAAGGAGTCATTTCCGACCCTATAAACCATGTATATTCTTGATCAGCATCAACAGACAAATCTTTCTAGCTATAGCCGACCGAAAAAAAAAATTTTCAGAAATGTTCAATTTTTCGGAAAAAAAGAAAGGGGTTACATCATTAAAATTTGCAAAAATCGGCCAAAAATTCACATTTTAAATGGAGTATGCAGTTTTGTTAACCTGCTAAAAATTAGCATACGGCCGTTTTCCGAATTGAAATTAATGTGTTTTTGGCTTAGTTATGAGATTTTTAAATTTTGAAATGTCGAAAAATTTCATATAATAATATCGTTAATATCGGTACAAAAATGGTAATGGACCTTCAATCAGAAGCTTAAAAGAAGGTGAAGGAGTCATTTCCGACCCTATAAATCATATATATTCTTGATCAACATCAACAGACGAAATTTTCTGGCTATACCCGGCCGAAAAAAAAAATTTTTCAGAAATTTCCCATTTTTCGGAAAAAAGGAAAGGGGTTACATCATTAAAATTTCCAAAAATCGGCCAAAAATTCATATTTTAAATGGGGTATGCAGTTTTGTTAACCTGCTAAAAACTAACCTAGGAGTGCTTTCCGAATTGAATTTAAGGCATTTTTGGCTTAGTTGTGGGATTTTTACGTTTTGACTTGTCCAAACAAAAATATGTATTATTTATAATATATAATTAACTTAAACTAAAGAGTATTCCTTTAACCATCATGTTCCCTGGCTGCACCTTAATATCTTTTTGGTTCGTGATTGTGGCCAGCGAATTCCTCGGTGTCCATTATCCAGCGTAGTTTTTTGATGCAGTTCCTTTCTCTTGGTTTTGCCCCCTTTTTTTATTTTTTGGTTTGCTCTCATGAAACCAACGCGTTTTCCATCTGCCATTTTGCTGCTGCTCCTCGTATGTAAGTGCACGTCAAAAAATAAGAGTACTGCTATTTAAAAATATAGAACTGAAAGTGAAGGCTTTATTGAATGATTTATATGTATTTTTTTTATGTTTCATATTTATTTATTCTCATATATTTATTTATACATTTTGATTTATATTTAAAAGATTTGTATATAATTTTACTTATATTTTCTTAACTATTTTCTTTCAGTGTTCCGGCCGAGATCAAGCGTCAAAATTACATTGTTGGCATACGCTGCCTTTTTTTATGGTCCCAATTCCTTTTGTCTTTTTTTCCAGCGGCTCCTGTTGCTCGAAATCCTTGCCATTGTTTGTTTTTCTGAGTTTTTCTGAGTTTGTCCCTGTCAGAGTACTCCAGTTTCTAGTAGAGGTTGGTAATGTATAAATACCTATTAAAGTAAAATATATATAGTTAGTTACCAGTAGCATATTAATTAATATGAAGGTGTATGTATATTGCTAATTAATCTAGTCCTGTAAATCCTTCATAAGAGAGAGTATACCCAATTTGGATTGACCTCATCTCTTGTTTTTTTTTCCACAGTCCAGTAAATGTGCGTGTATATTGTGTATGTGTCTGTGTTTGTGTTTTAAGGGGTTAAGAGAAGTGGTGAGGGGTTTGGGGTACGGCACAGGAGCAGCGTTGATTGTTGCAATTTCTCGTTAAATTGAATTCGCGCGTTCAATGCGAGCGAGAGTCCTGGGATTCGAAGTGCGAGCCCGGGGAATGGCACGGAAAATGGCGGAAAATTGCACGATGGCGACGATGGAGTCCTGCAAGCTGCACTGCTTATTTATGACAAGTGGCCAGCAGCACAGGAAACGGTGGGCAGGAGGTGGGACAGGCAGGCACTTCCGGCCGGACAACGAAATGAATGCGAGGACAACGCATTATGAGATTGCCTTTCGGCCCAAAAATTACACCGAAAACACTGGAGGCTCAACACGCTTGTTACCCAGAGGTGGACCCCCCTCATCTGACCGCCTGCACACACATCGTTGTAACCTTTTGTCACCCCTTTATCCCACCCATCCTGGAACAGCTTTTATCCTCAATTAAAAAGGACACAAAAAAAACAAGGAATACCATTCATGGAAAGCAATGACTGCAAATGGTCCAAAATGACCCCAGGACAAGGACTGCATTGGCACTGGCAAAAACTACGGGATTTTCAGGTATTATTAGTAATATTTATTATTATAATTATAATTAATTATTAATAAATATGTAATATATGTGCGAAATAAATATAAATAAAAATCATGTCGAGTTATTAATATTTAGGTTTAATAATAATAATAATAATAATAATAATGAAAAATTTTAATTTTTCCAGGATGCTGCAGCGGATACCTTAATCCGAGTCCTGCCAGGATTCATGCTCATCACAGCCACAAAAATATAATGAAGCAACGCTATTTAAATGCAATTTCCATCCATTTCCATTAATTGAGTTGCAGGACGAATGCGAATGCCTTGCGGGGTAATGAGCTAAACTAAGCCCCAAGGATACGTCTGGCTATATGCTTTAGCCAACTGCCACTAAAGCCCAATCTTAGCCATTCCAATTACTTAACTGAAATGTTTGAGCAAGTGGCTGAAACCAATGGCTGAGAGTGGCAAATAAATAAGGTGCAAACACGTGTTCGAGGTGGGGTTTTCGAGCAGGAAAGAGCAGGGAAAAGGAGCAGGAGCAGAAGGTAGCTTGAATGCCCGACGTTATCCTTATCATTGTTATACTTAAGTTAACAGCAGCTTAAGTAAGCAAACGCACACACACCCGGGCTTACGGCAGTAATCAAGCACACGCACTCGCACTTTCGCCCCTCAAGTCTTGGCTTTTATGGTTGGGCTGAACAGTGGGCCAAATGCTATGCAACATAGGATGAATATATATACCTTCCATCGATAAATGTATAATAAAAGTTATAAATTCACTGTTTTGAACGATTTTTGTGAGATTTTATAAATAATATAAAAATAAATACCAATTTAGTACATTTGGCGGTTTCTTAGCTAGATCTTTGGCAGCCAATACGATGCCATAATGTCCAAAAAACGCAATAAACCAAGTTATGCATCTCTACTGGCAAGTCAGATGGCATTTTCTCCCAACTGTGCAATATAGCTAGATGAGCATCACTGGTGGAAAGTAAGATGCCTTTTTTTTCCAATTTTGCAGTTTATCTAAATAAGCATCACTGGTGGAAAGATGCATTTTTTTCCCAATTTTGCAATATAGCTAAATGAGCATCACTGGTGGAAAGTAAGATGCTTTTTTTTCCCAATTTTGCAATATAGCTAGATGAGCATCACTGGTAGAAAGTAAGATGCCTTTTTTTCCCAATTTTGCAATATAGCTAATTGAGCATCACTGGTAGAAAGTAAGATGCCTTTTTTTCCCAATATTGCAACATAGCTAAATGAGCATCACTGGTGGAAGTAAGATGCCTTTTTTTCCCAACTGTGCATAATAGCTAGATGAGCATCACTGGTGGAAAGTAAGATGCCTTTTTTTCCCAACTGTGCAATATAGCTAAATGAGCATCACTGGTGAAAAGTAAGATGCCTTTTTTTCCCAATATTGCAATATAGCTAGATGAGCATCACTGGTGAAAAGTAAGATGCCTTTTTTTCCCAATATTGCAATATAGCTAGATGAGCATCACTGGTGGAAGTAAGATGCCTTTTTTTCCCAATTTTGCAATATAGCTAAATGCGCATCACTGGTGGTGCAATATTGGGAAAAAAAGGCATCTTACTTTCCACCAGTGATGCTCATCTAGCTATATTGCAATATTGGGAAAAAAAGGCATCTTACTTCCACCAGTGATGCTCATCTAGCTATATTGCAATATTGGGAAAAAAAGGCATCTTACTTTACACCAGTGATGCTCATCTAGCTATATTGCAAAATTGGGAAAAAAAGGCATCTTACTTTCCACCAGTGATGCTCATTTAGCTATATTGCACAGTTGGGAAAAAAAGGCATCTTACTTTCCACCAGTGATGCTCATCTAGCTATTATGCACAGTTGGGAAAAAAAGGCATCTTACTTTCCACCAGTGATGCTCATCTAGCTATTATGCACAGTTGGGAAAAAAAGGCATCTTACTTTCCACCAGTGATGCTCATTTAGCTATATTGCAATATTGGGAAAAAAAGGCATCTTACTTTCCACCAGTGATGCTCATCTAGCTATATTGCAAAATTGGGAAAAAAAAGCATCTTACTTTCCACCAGTGATGCTCATTTAGCTATATTGCACAGTTGGGAAAAAAAGGCATCTTACTTTACACCAGTGATGCTCATTTAGCTATATTGCAATATTGGGAAAAAAAGGCATCTTACTTTCCACCAGTGATGCTCATTTAGCTATATTGCAAAATTGGGAAAAAAAGGCATCTTACTTTCCACCAATGATGCTCATTAAGCTATTATGCACAGTTGGGAAAAAAAGTCATCTTACTTTCCACAAGTGATGCTCATTTAGCTATATTGCAATATTGGGAAAAAAAGGCATCTTACAAATTTGCAAAATTGGAGAAAAAGAAGGCATCTCACTTTCCACCAGTGATGCTCTTCTAGCTATATTGCAAAATTGGAAAAAAGGCATCTTACTTTCCACCACGATACTCTCAGCATCACTGATGCCAACCAACCAAATTGACCATTTTCCGATCCGGAGTACCAGGCGAACAGAAATCAGCAGAAGGCGACGCAGAACCATCAGAAACTGTTATAAAGATCCCAAGTTTCAAACCATCTCAAGATCGGCGTATAACAGTTAGCGCAGACTAAAAGCAATTTATCGCCGTTCAAATTGGAATTCATATCTGGCGGTTAATGAGTTCATACTTTTAGACCATATATGGCTGTAAATTTAAATTTTAGACCACATATGGAGGTCAGCGAATTCTACATTTTAGATCATATATGGCGGGAACTTTAATTTTAAAATATCAATTTAGCGTATTTTGCGCTGTAAAATATGTGTAAAAATTTAAAAAAAATCAATAAAAATATTAAAATATATATATTTATACCTACAACAACAAATAAGTTTAACAACAATAACAATTTATTTATTTATTATTCATTATTTGTAATTTATTACGCTTTTGTCTCCACTGTTCCGCAGGGGCGACTTGCAGCCATTGTTACCGCATGCCGCCCCCTCAAGCAATTGCCGTTGGCAGTGTGCGTGTGTGTGTTTATGGGTGTGGAAAAGCGGGAAAATCCAAGGGAAAAGGAAAATGAGCCACGCTCATTTTGTGGCAGGCGCAAATCCCCATAATCAGAAAGCTTTTGCACTTTATTTGTGTTAGTTTCAATTATATAAACAACAGTGGAAATGGCAGGCGAAGAACCAATTACCGCTTGATTTAGCACACGCACACAAATGCAAATAATGCGCACACACACTCGACACACACACACACACTTACTTGCATTAGCCACGCCGCCATGACAAACTTATTGAGATTCATTGAGCAGATTGTTGTGAGGCTTCAGTTCAGTGGCCATGGGCGGCGGGGCTAAGGGCAAGGGGAGGACCAGCTCAGCCCAGCTCAGTGCACTGCACAAAAACGGGGCGGAGTATGGGGATACTAAAAATGGGTGGTTATCAGTGGGAAGGGCGGGAGCTAAAAGGATGGGCGTGGCCGGGGCCGGGGACGGTTTGGTGAGCCCTTGTTGGCTGGTTTGTTAGTCAGACAATGGCTAATGCTTCAACTGGTAAATACAAACACAAATATGTACACTGAAAAATTATGCATGTATGTGCGGTACACTGGGACAAATTATTTTGAAAATTAATAAAAAATAATTCATATTAATAAAGGAATAGAAATGCAGAGAACATTTTCACGATTTAATTTAATTTAATTTATTACTATTACTTCCTTTATTGCTTTACTTTATTATTGATTTTAATTAAATATATTTTGCAAGCCTCCATTTTTTCTTGCAGTGCACCATTTATGTGTGTGTGTGTGTGTGTGTGTGTGTGTGTGTGTGTGAGTTGCTTGTTTGCTTTGCATAAAAGCTCAGGCATTGAAAACTAAAATACTGCACAACACATTGAGACTTTGTATTGCCAAGCATTAGGCGCCGTTTCATTTATATTTTATGCACACACACAGATACTATCCTCTCTCCCTGTGTGTGTGTGTGTGTGTGTGCACTTCTGCTTAATAGTTAAATAAACAGAAGTTTCCTTTTGCCAACGGCAGGCTTACACCCAAACACACACACAGAGCCAGAGAGAGACAGGATCGACGACGCTTTTAAGCCCATTCCCGCCTCACTTACCCCCAATCCCCTTTTCGCCTTTTTTTCTCAAGTGTATGGCAAGCATTTTACAGTTATTGAGATTTTAATAGTCATGGCAGGGCACTCTCCGGATGCTTTTCCATTTAACCAATTATTACACAGAGGCGGAGCCTGGAAGGAGAAAAATACAAGAATTTTAGCGACAAATCATAATTTAAAAATCTCATAACTAAGCCAAAAATGCATTAATTTCAATTTGGAAAGCGTTTCTATGCTAGTTTTTTGCTGGTTAACAAAGTTGCATACTCCATTTAAAATGTGAATTTTTGGCCGATTTTTTGAAATTTTAATGATGTAACCCCTTTCCTTTTTTGCAAAAAATGGAAAATTTCTGAAAAAATTTTTTTCGGCCAGCTATAGCTAGAACAATTCCCCTGTTAATGCTGATCAAGAATATATATGATTTATAGGGTCGCAAATGACTCCTTCACATTTATTTTGACTAGACTTAAAATACCTAGCAAGGGTATAAAAACAATATTTAATGTTTTTTTTCTATAATTTTCTAGTTATTTTTAAAGATTTTATATTAATTTTTTATTTCATATTATTTTATTATATCACTTTAATTTTTTGTATGTAACAAACCCTTTAATTTATATTTTTCTATGCTTTATTTAGGACGCCACTGTAAAAGAGGAAACTAAAAACTCACCCTGAAAGTAGGCAGCATAAAAATCACAGCCAGCTCCAGCCCAAAGATGGCGCCCCGGTGTTGTTGTATTTCTCCCCTACAAAAATAAAGAGAATCTGAGCAAAATACAGAAAAAAAAACTCTGCAAATAAAGAAAAAATTGCAGGTGATATTTAGGCCGGAAGCAAGATGCGTTTCCAAATTCACATTCATATTCCGACTCAGATCCCAGCTGCAGCTGCTGCAATCAGCGACTAATGCAGCTCGTTAGGCAAACACACACAGCAGCAGCCGGCACACATGATTTTATTCGCCATGTTAAACATGCCGTCTGCATATGTTTACCAAAACGAAAAAAACATTAAAAAAAAAACAGGAAAAACCAAGCCAGGAGAAAGGGAATAAGGAAAAACGGAGTGGAAACTCGGGCAGGGGGAAGGGATGACTGTTCCCTGGAGAAATGCTAAAATTCTTTCTAATGTGCAAACACCTACATACCAGCGACACGTTATTTTTCGGCAACGACGACTGCTCCTAGTTGCTGTTCCTGCTGCTGCTGCTGCTGCTGCTGCAAGTTGTTGCTGCTGCTGCTGCTGCTGCAAGTTGTTGCTGCTGCTGCTGCTTCCTGCAAGTTGAAGCTGATTTTGTTTCCATCTTTCAAAAAAGGCGAAATGGATTCAGACAGAGGCAGCTGTCGTTTGCATTGCCAATCGAGGCTTTTTATATTTGCCTTTTGGTGCACTGCAAAAAAAGAATAGATTTTAATATATATATTATATATATATTTGTAAGAGTTTACTTTCCTATAAACTAAATTAACTTCTAGTTAGTAAGAAAGAGTTTTTTCTGGAATTGAAATAGCAAATGTTATCTTTAATAAATTTATATTATTTATAAAACACTTACAAGTAAAAGAAAAATCCAATTAATAATCAATCTTACTGTTTAACTTGATAATAAAATGATCAAAATATAAATTACCACTTGTTTTCTCCAAGTCTCCCTTTTTTCGCAATGAGTTTTGGCCAACTCTTTGAGCCCAGTTGCCGCCACTCAAAGGCCGTCTTTCATCTGTCCCAGAAATGCCAAAATGGATGGACACAGAAAAGGGCAACTGCCTGGGTTTCCTTTTTTGTTGATTTCTGGCCGCCTCCTCGGAAGTTTTGAAGTTTGAATTCACAGCTTTTGCAATTTCAGTTTCACTTGGCAGCTCAGCCAATTTGGCCAAGTTCTGAGGTGAAATGAAGTCGTCGCGTGGCAGGTGGGCATTACGATTGAATGGGCTTCTTCCTTCCACTGAAAGTTTGTCCCAAATCCCGCATAATCGCACTCAATTCATAGTCTGAACAGACCATTAAATCTTGAGCAAAATTCTTACACCCCAATAAAAAAAATACAAGATTGAAAACCGATCTTAATTTTAAGTGCATTTGTTTTCTTTTTCATTCAGAACTTTGGTTGTTTTTGGGTTACTTTCTTGTTGTTTGAATTTCCAAAAAAAAAAAATGTATATATATATTTGTATTGACAACGCACTTGGCTTTTCGTATAACTATGTACATGCATTACAATCGATAGACATATAAATATATAGTAGGCTTAAAATCTAAAAAAGAAATTGAATTGCTTCGATTTGAATGGCTTTTACAGTGGTACACGTAGTGGTAATAAGTAGTAAGCATATATATATATATATGTACACAGAGACAGCAAATAATAATAATATTGTTATTAAAAATTATATATATATATATATGCGGAGAGTATATTCCTTTTCTTTTCGTAAACAGCAATTACATCTTAGCCTAAACCTAAACAATCAATCGGACTAAGCCTAAGTTCTACACGTAAATAATCACAATTAAATATTGCTACGGTTCGCAGCGCAACGCCAGCAGCAGGCACATAAAACTATTGTATTAATAATATATAAAAAAAAATAATAATAATATTCAAAAAATACAAAAAATACCCTATATATTTGCACTAAAATTAAATCAACAACTTAAAAAAAAACTGCAGCACTTTAGTTAACACCAAAAAATAATAGTACATATATATGTGTGGAAAGAGTACAAGTTGTTGCTAGAATTGAATTACAATTTGCTATTTACAATTTGGCATAAAAATCATTAAAAAAAAGAACAAGGAGAAATAATAAATATATTTAAGAGGGGATTTAATTATTAATTAAGGTGCAAAAGAAAGGTGCAACTGTGAACAAACTTCAACATGCAATTGAAACGACACACTACACTGGACTACACACACAACATTTGCTTTCTAACCTCCACTGTGGCTCTCGTTTAGAGCTAGGGAGTTGCTGCTGCTGCTGCTGCTTCTGTTGCTGCTGCTGCTGCTGCTGCTGCTGCTGCTGCTGGACATTGCACCTACTAGTGGCTTTTGCCATCCCTGCCTCCAAAGGAGCTAAAGAACCTAAGCAACAGCGATCGATCCTCACCATTGCGATCCATCTGCCGCTCCAGACTCCAACCTATATTCGGCAGCCACCAGAAGGGTGTGTAGCCATCGCTTTTGGATGATGTTGCTGCTGTTGCTGTTGCTGCTGCTGCTGTTGCTGTTGCTGCTGCTGGCTCTTCGCTAGCTTGCTCTACTCTAATTATTTTACTATTCCTATGGCTACGATTATTAATACTTAAATGTGTTGCTGTTGCGGATGCTTCTGATGTTGCTTCTCCCTCGGTTTCAGTGGATGTTGCTGCTGCTGCTGCTGCAGTGCTGCTCTCATTAGCAATGCTGGATGTTGCTGTTGCTGCTGCTGTACTGCTCGTGCTTAATTGCGGCATCACCTTTGACCAATTTGCGACGGTGGTGGATGAGACTGATGTCGTCTCTGACACTGATGTTGATGTTGATGATGATGACGACGATGAGTAGGATTCCTCGGTGGTTAAAGGTAACTCGGATGTTTCTGGCTCCTGTCTTAGCTGCTGCTGCTTTCGCTTGCTACTTTTTACCAAGGCATTGATGAGACGCAATTCTTTGGCCACAGCATCCTCTTCATCATCTTGATGTGTCTCCTTGCCGCCTATAGTATTTGTCATTAAATTGTCATTGTCATCGTTCTGCATGATCGGTGGTGGGATTGTTGCTGCTGTTGTCACTGTGCCGCCTTCCCCTGGACTTGTCTGATAATGAAACCGGTCAGTGGAGGTGCCCACATCAGCTGCTGCTGCTTCTGATGCTGTTGCTGCTTCTGATGCTGCTGCTGCTGCTGCTGTTGTTGTTGTCACCTGAACAGGTTCCACTTTCGATTTTATCAAGACCAGGCGATGATTTTCATGTTCATCTATCTTGGTCTCCGCAGATGGCGGATATGGCTGAGGTTCCGACTGTGTCTCTGTTGCCGCCTCCGCATCGCTGGTATCCGTTGTCTCGCCAGTGACTGTGGTGGACCACTCCTCTTCATCATCGTCATCATCATCATCATCATTCTCATCAGCTGGCACAATATCTGTGGTGGTCTCCTCCTCCACTGGCTCCTCTTCGCTGGAATCCTGTTCCTGTTGTATGGTTTTCACATCCAAAACAGCGCTCAATGGCGGCGCCACACGGCGACGACTGAAAGGCGGCGGCATTAACTCAATGCTGGCATCTTGACTGGCCGGCAGAAAGGCGTCGACCTTGAGCAGTTGAGCCAGATCCGCCTCCGCATTGGCATTGGGTTTTAAATTCTCCAGAAGAGGAGCAACATTTGCATCCGCATTGGTAGTGGTATCAGAGGCATCATCGACATCGATGAGGGAACTGGTGACCAGTTGCACTGATGAACCATCCTGCGGCTGCTGACCCGCCGGCACAACAATGGCCTCCACCTGGCCAATTTCCAGGGTACTGTTGCTGCTGCTGCTACTGTTGCTGCTGCTACTGTTGCTGCTACTGTTGCTGCTGCTGGTGTTCTCCATGAGTGTTGTGGTTGTGGACATTGCATTGCTGGAAGCTGCCAGCAAATCCCCGCCAGCAATGCGATTGCCACTCAATGCTGTGGCAGTTGCTGCAGGTGTTGCTGCAGGTGTTGCTATTGCTGTTGCTGTTGTGCTCGCCTCTGTGGAAGTGGATGTGGATGTGGTTGAGTTTGCAATGCTACCTAGCATGTCCTGGTCCAGATCCACGTCCACCTTCACCTCGGGCTCCCCAGTGCCCGTTGGGAACTTTTCAAATATATTAAACTTTAACGGAGCATTCTCACTGGGCAGCGCCTGGTCCTCGTTCCCACCAAGGCCGCCAATGTGTATGGGAAATGGTTGATCCAGTTGATGATGTTGCTGCTGCTGCTGTTGCTGCTGTTGCTGCTGTTGCTGTTGTATATCAGACAAATCGTACTGAGACTCACCGCTAGCATCATCATCACTGTCACTGTCATAGTCGTAGTCCAGAATGGGCTTAACTCCCACTCCACCGGCCAGGATCAACTCCTGCTTGAGGACATCTGTGCTATCGATTTGACTGATGAGTATGCAGGTATCCTTGAAGAGCTTGTGGTTCGGCGGACAATTGCGGTAGGGGAGCGTGAATATCGATTTGGCCGTCACCTTCTTCTCCTTCTCAAGTGTTTTCTGAACGGGATCCAAGTTGATCCAATCCTCCCAGGCCATCCGCTGGGCATTGCCCTCGATGGGACGCGATGTGATGGGCAGTCCGGCGACGAAGGCCACCGCAACCGTTAGCGCCAAGATCACCGCCAGGCGCGGTGCCATCTTTGGTCTGCACCTGCAACTAGTTAGCTAGTAATGCTGCTCCTGCTCGCTGCTGGTGGCCCTGAAAAAGCAGACAGGGAAAAGCAATAAGTGTAAGTTAAATATACAAAAAATAAGGTATTACAAAGAAAGTGGAGAGGGAGGGGAACAGCAGCAGGAAGTGACGGTGGAAGCCACCCAATGCGCTTTGTCAACGGCAACACCAGCAGCTGTTCTTCTGCCCCTTTTGGAGCACCCGCTGCCCTCCAGCTCCTCCTCCAAAAGGGAACTATACAATAACTGCAAATACCGGTTCTCTCCCTCACACAAGACAGTGGGGTTACAATGGAACTTGTTGTGAAAATGAGTACTCAAAATCATAAACTAGACTTCACTATATTCATAAAGAAATATATAATTTGTTATATTAATTTCAATAAAGAATAATTTGCATAATACTTAATAGGGTATGCCAGACCAAATAAGTTATTCAGGCTTATTACGAAATAAATTATATTAAAAACCTTTAAAAACCAAGAAGAACAAATAATGAGATAGAACGTAATTTATGGTCATTTTTTAGGGCAAATCAAAATTTCGTAAATCTCAGAACTTAGCTAAAAGTACACCAATTTCAAATCGGAAAGCGTTCTTATGTTAGTTTTTAGTAGGGTAATAAATCTGCATACTCAGTTCAAAATGTTAAAAAATTCAAATTTTTGTCAATTTTCCTTTCCCTTTCCTTTTTTTCAAAAGTGGCCAATTTTGGGAAAAAAATGTTTTTTGCCCAAATATTTCCAGAAAGATTCCCCTGTTGATGCTGATCAAGAATATATATGATTTATAGGGTCGGAAATGACTCCTTCACTTAGTTTTAAGCTTCTGACTGATATTATAATACACTGAAAATCGTACTTATAGCTTCGAAAATATATATCTCACTCATGTTGAACTTATATTTTTCAATATTAACAACCCTTTTGAACTGCCACAGCCACTGTATTGCATGGAGGAGGATTTGGATTCAAAGTTGAAGACGACAACAAAGATTGTAAGCATCGAGCATCGTCTTAATGGTTATATCAACGGTTCCCCTTGCACACACCAACAACAACAACAATAACAACAACAAACAATTACAACAACAATAACAGAGGGCCCGCGACTCATATATTGTATATACATATATCACACTATCTCTCATCACATCAGTCAGTCATCATCGGTGTTGTCATAATCAACAACAGCTATGTATATATTAATAACAATAGTAATAATAACAATAATAATAACAACAACAACAACTATAACAATAATAACAGCGATAAATGCAACATTTTGTTGCTGCTTGCTTTGGGTACTGTTAAGGCTGAAACAGTTGCTGTTACTACTGCTGGTTGTTTTTGCTCTTAGAGTTGTAAAAGTTGCTGTTATTGTTGTTATTTTGTTGCTGGTTTAGTTCTAGTAGTTACTGTTATATTTGCAGTAGTTGTTGTTATCATTAACATTGCTGTAACAGTTGATGTTATTATTACAGGAGATGCTATTATAAATATCAGCAGCTCTTGTTCTACTGTAAAAGTTTCCCTTATCTCTGTTATTGTAAAAAAATTAATGTTTTTTTTGTATAAAAGTTGCTGTTATCAGTGTTATAAGTATCAGATTTTGCTGATGTTTCTCCTAAGAGTTCCTTATCTGGTTGCAAAAGTTACTCTAAAGGCTGCAACTAAAGTTATTATTAATGTTATTTGCTGCTGTTACTGCTATACTTGTTATTATTGTTTTAACAGTGGCTGTTTCTGCTGCTGCTGTTGGTGTTGGAGTTGCTGTTGCTGTTGGTGTTGCTGTTGGTGTTGCTGTTGGTGTTGCTGTTGTTGTTGGTGTTGCTGTTGGTGTTTCTGTTGCACTTAGCTTGAGGGCACAAGCAACACACACGAGGAAAAACTGAGGGGAAAAATCGGTGGCACGCACAAAATGTTTATTTATACAAGACAAGTACCGAGCGTGGAAGCGGGACAGTCCCACACGCATGTATGTACATATATACCTAGAATATATATATATGTATATATGTATAAATTTATATATATATATGTAGGTTATCTGCGGGTTCTTGGAATTTATGAGTTCAAGTGTGTGGCACTGCGACCGCGACTTTTCTAACTGTTGCACTCGAGTTTATGGCTGTTATTGCCGCCGCTGTCATTATTACTTGTTAATAGCTCTGTTTGGAACCGGAGAGTTTGAGAATCGGAGAATCCGGGTATCAGGGTATCAGGGTATCGGGGAATCCGTTCGAGTGCGTGTGCCTTGTGTCTTGTGTCGCGGCGTATCGGTCGTAAAACCACTCATTCCATCCCACCATTTGGGTTATTGTTTTTGCCTTTTGTTTTTGTTCCCCTCAAAGTTTCGGGGTTTCTTGCGTGTCTTGCTTCTGAATGTCAAGTACCTACAATATATATATACTTTATACTTTATATATATAGAAACGATAAGGTTAATGTCATAACGGTAACGTTATTATATAAAGCAATGACTTTGACACCCGCAGCAAGTTGATCCCTTGAAACTGGGTTAAATCGTATTGAATTTTAAGTTGGGGGTACAGAAAAGAAAGAGTATACACGATTACATAGTATTTGTCTTGAAGTTTGAAAAGTATTTTGGAATATTAGATGCATATATATCGTTGTGCACATTGCTGCCTAAAATAGCGACCCAATTCTAAGCTAAAAAAGAATGAAAGAGATACCGACACAACTTTGAATATAAATATGCAAATATGTCCCAGAAAATATGAATATTTGTATGAAAATTGACTTAGAAATATTAATTCAATTAATTTAAAAGTAAGTTACAAAAAACAAAATGGGGGAAGATGCATTAAACTCTTATAAAAACTTCAAGGTGTATCCCTACTCAAGTTTCCTTTATTTTGAATAACTTATTCCCTTTCCCTCTTTTTAATTTCTCATGTATGTAATTCCCTTACAAAATTACAGGCTTTTGCTTAAAGTTAATTGTCTCTTAAATGCAATTTAGGGATTTGCAATCATTCAATCCTTTTCGGTTGTAACCCATCATTACTTGACTGGCCGCCCAATAATGCAATGCTCTATTTCCCTGATTTCGATTTTCAGCTAATCTATATTTATGAAGGGTTCTTTCCCCCTCGTATCTGTATCTGCAGCTGTATCTCTCTCCCCATATCTGTATCTGTATCTGTATCTCTGTTACTGTCCAGCCTGGAATCCAACTATTTGGCGGACATGTGACGACTACCGGACTCCCCGGCGCCTGTCACCAGGCATCAACTGCTATTTCGGCAAAACGAAAGCCCCTGAAATATACACGAAATACTCTCTGAAATACCCCCTGAAATACCCCGGAAAAACTACACTCCAACACAGAAAAAGGGTCGGACATTGGTTTTCCCTAACATTCATTCATTGGAGTCCTGCTCCTCCTGCTCCTCCTGCTCGTCCTGCTCGTCCTGCTCCTCCTCCATCTCTACTGTGTGTATCAGTTCATCTGTCAGTTTTTGGCGGAGCCCCCAAATTGAAATCAACTTCACACGTCGCAAATTTTTAATTAAAAATCAGCAACTGATGTCAATTTTTTTTTTAAGGGGGAAAAGCTACAGCTCCTGCTACTTTTTCTTTTCTCATTTTTTCTTTGCGGATTCGGACACAACATTTGATGGTTGGCACCAAAAAAAAAAGGGCAATGTTACATTTCTGATGCGGATATATATTCAGCTGTTTGTACATAATTCCGCAAAAAAACATACATTGACATCTTGCTAATACAAAGCACGGCGGCGACACGTTGAATTTGGGATTCAGAGTTTGAATGTGTGTTTGCTCGTGCTTCGTGCTCGCACGTATTCAATTCGATTCAATGATTCAATCCCGCATCCTGGCATCCTCCTCCAGGATGGTGGCTTCCTCTATGTCCTGCCAAACACACACACACACACAGAAGAAAACACGCACCGTCAGCCTGGATTTCCCCGCAGCAATGCGTGCACATGAGTCCTTAGATTCCGACTTTATCTATTCGAATGTGTCCTGTGTCCTTTGTCCCAAGTCCTTATTCATTTGCCAGCCGTTGGCCACGTTTTTCCTTGCTCCTGCTACTGTTTTTGGTCCTGTTTCTGCTTCTACTCCTGCTCTTGATCTTGCTTTTGGCCCTATTGCTAGCTCTACTAGTCCTTCTATTCATAGTCCTGTCTCTGCTCCCTTTTATAGCAATCTCTATTTCTGCCAAGTACAGACTCTTAATTATCCATACTATCAATTGTTATTCACATTTTCCATGGCCTTTTCTTATGCTTACAGGAAATCTAAGGACTGTCAGGACTAGGAATTAAGCCATCAAAAATAAAGGTGAGTCTGTGACAGTTAAGGAAAGTTGTACAAGAGTTTAAGTTAAGTTTTCTAGGTAAAGTTTTTGTTTAAAATCGGTTATTTCTAACAACTAAAGATAGATCTTTAAATAATATATATAGTACCTTCCCTTTACCATTAAATTCCCTTAATAATTCATGAATTGCATTCATCGATTGGTGATCTCATTGGTTGCAGCAACAAGTAAAAACCATCTGGACATTTGGTTTACTTTTCGATTTCTCAGACACTCAAATGCATTCAAGAATTGTACAATTCCTAATATATATCTAAAGCTACATATATATTTGTATTTGTATCTGTTTTCTGTCTTTGTATCTGTATCTGTTCTCTGCCTCTGCCTCTGTATCTGTATCTGTATCTTTCAATGTTTGCCATTGCCCACGCACGTGGCCAAGTTACAGTGTCAACCAGTTTTCGTGTTCGGATTTTTCTTCGGGGGTAAAAAGATACAACAGTTTTTGTTTTTGTAAAATGCAAAACTAAGGCAACTAAAACGTAACGAAACGACTTTAAGACCGAGAGCCCAGAAAGCCGATGTTGCTGATGCGCAACAAGTGGTCGGAAGGCAGCACCAAACCAGCCAGCAACAAAGTGTCATTTAGGTTTTTATTGCCGCTTAACAGAGCTCGAAAAGTGCACTTGAAAAAATTTCAAGTAATTTCTAATTAAG